CTCACTATAGTTTCTTGATGTTTCTTGATCATTTGAATCACTATTTAAGCAGTTAAAGGTGACGGTATTGGTCATTGAAGGTGGATTTACCCTGTTATTGTGTAAAAGGCAATTTACAAACGTTAAACTTTCTTTAGAAATTTTTACAAACGTTAATAGAGTTTCTGTTATTAGGTAAAAAGACAATTTTACCACTGTGTTCGCTCGCCCCCACATTCAAAAACTCCTTAATGTTGAAAAATAAGGTAAGTTAACTAGTTGATCAATGTTTGCTCCTGGTAATTTTATGCATTTTTAGACCAAAATAAAAAATTACCTGTTACCGTTGTTTTTTAAAAATCTAATGGACTCATCTTGACTGTACTGAGTCACCTTAGATCAGTTCAGAATCTCAAAGGAGTTGTGACAACTCAGGGAATTTGTCAGTGAGTCAACAGATGAAGAGCATGGGCATGCTTATATGCACCCCAAAAATGAAATATCATTTTTATCTTTGAAAAAAGTCTTTTCTTTTTTGTCTCTCTCTCCCCTCACATTGGCTCAGCTTACGCCATGATCAGTTTTTGTTTTTGTTCATGATTTCTTCCTAGGTCTTAAGTGCAGACACTATTTGTGCTTGTACTTTTCCTTAAATTCAAAACAAATAGGTTTAGATGTTTTAACCATGCAGGCAAGGGTTGCTGGTGGCTTGTTCTAATGGAGGTATTGACGTTTGATATGTAAGAATCTATATATCAAGTTATTAGTCCAAGCATAGGGCCTTTTCAAGTTCCTTGATCCTGTATTTGGGAACCGTGACGATATATCATTTTCGTTCATCTCCTTTTGCATTTAAAATGAACATGATTAGTGAAGCCTATGGAGTGAGGGGTATAACTTGCAGGTGACGTATCTCGATGGTTAGATTTCTCTCTCTTGCCCTTGCTCCTTTTTCTGATAATTGCTTTCAACAACTAATTTCCATGGATTAGATCAGTTTTCTAACTGTTGCTTGTAGTTTAGTACTCATTAATAGTAAAAAGTTCTTCGCACTGTTCTTAAATCGTGTCTTACACTGGTGGGATGATGTGGACAAAATATTGAATTGGGTTGTAAAAACGTCTTTTGTAGCTCAGTGACACTTTAACTATGGAGAATTTGGGCAATCACCAGTATCCTAGCCACATATAGGATACATATTTAGTGGATAGCTATTTAGTCTCACTAATATGAAGAATCTGAATCAAAAATCGTATTGCAGGAACTTTTTTGATCTATCTGGATGACTGGTGTACAGGTTTGATTTGATTTGATATCTGGTGTTCCCTTCAAGAATTATTAGATTGACCTACAAATAATGCAGTGTCTTATGCTTCAGCCTTTGAACTGGACAATAAAATATAGGATATTGGATTTTGTCATTTTTGGCAGAACACTATGATTTCTTGCTTTGTGGGATTTATTTGACCATCAAACATTCTGCTCCAACGACGTGATGTTCCACTGCAAATCCACTGCAGTTAATAACATTATAATTTCTTGCTTTTCTGCTCCAACGACGTGATGTTCCACTGCAAATCCACTGCAGTTAATAACATTATAATTTCTTGCTTTTCTGCTCCAACGACGAGAGGCTCCACTGCGAATTTCTTGCAATTAATTCCAAGGATGGATGCTAATTGTTGATAAATGATTCCAGATACATTTTGGTGTTTGGGGATATTTTTTGGTGTGAGAGGACTGGCAAATTTGTTTCCTTGTATCATGATGCCAGACAAGTGTCTTTGGAACACTAATGTCTTTAAAGCCTTTCTATTGCCTTTAGATATCATGTTAATAGCTGTTTTCTCAATGCATATGGGTAACAGTGAATTGATGTGTTGAGTTGGATTCAGCTATAAATGTGCTGATTGGAGATCTTTATATGGTGATTGTATGGTGGGGGAATGTGTGGTTGGCTTGTGGCAACTATGCTTCTGATGATCTATATATAGAGAAACTCAGAAACTGGATAGAACCTCTTGAAATGAATACCTACTTTCTCCGCTTGTCAGCAACAGATCCTTATATTGAGTTCCGTGCTGGTTAATCATCTATTTAGCTGACTTTTTTGAGCTATTGATGCTTATGATAAAGTTCATAAGTTGTGATCTCGAGTGATGACTGAGAATATCTCTAGTAAGATAGCAATCAAGATCAATGGAGGGTAGTGGATACATAACTGCATCATAAAAATAAGTTTAATTCCTGATGCTTGTTGGATGTTACCAAACTTTTAGGGCATGTGACTTGTTATATAGCATACCAACATCAGTACATTAGTTAGATGGAGAGCGGCCAACATAGTTTACCGGAGTTCTCACATTCAATTAATCTTTCTGCTGGCATGTTTTTTCATGGCTTGATGGTAGTAGAGGTGAAGACGGATGCTGTCGTTTTGATGCATTCAGAACATTCTTCTTGACATTTTAGGGGTATTCAAGCCTCCATATCGGTGGACAAGCTTCTTCTCACAGAGACACTGCATGACAACTTTATTAGCTCGAGGGTTCATTTTGTTTTTCTTGGGTGCTCAAACGTCTCACTGCTATATGAGACTGGTGAAAGTTTGTAACTAATTATCATTTTTTGTCAGAAGATTTGTTCAACTCTTTAAATGACATCATTTCATCATTTGGTCAAAAAAAAAAAAAAAAAATTGCTGCCATGGAAGACCCTTGAAGTTGTTGTGTATAGTTTGCACTTTATTATCCTTACCAAGGATTGACTTTTTCCAACTAATTTATTGGACTACAATTTATTTCTGAAGTATTTCCTAATCTTTTGCCAATTTTTCATTTTTTTTTTCTTTTTGCATTGTCATAGGAGAATCCTGCTGAAATTATCTTTTTGATTTGCAATCGGTGAATAATTCGGAGCATGCCATAGATTTCAAAAGCATAGCCTTCTTGTCTCTGTACGTCATCAAGTAAACAAAACAGTCTATTAGTTCTGGGCCCACGATGATTGTAGTTTCCTGTTGTAAATGAGATTAAAGGAGGTTTGCTAGTATGTGCTCTGTCTAATAACTCCTAAATCTTACTACATTCTATGTGTGTCAGGAGGATGGGGTGAATTTAAGTCTTCTTCTCTGTAGTAATGCTGTTTCCCTGAAGGTTCTTGTTGCCATCATTGCTTATCTAAAAGGATATATCTTCACTAAAACATTCTTACTTTTTGGTGTGGCCCTATACCATTTCTACGTCACAGATCATCGCCAAGGATCTATATTAAGTGACATGATTAGTGTGTGTAGTTGTCTCAGGTGTGGGAATATTTGCAAAGATCCAGAAGGCATGGCTTGCTATAGGGTGCTTACGGTGCTTCTGGAAATAAAAGATTTTAATTATCACAAAAGTTCCCCGCGTCATGCATTTGATATCTTTCTGGACCTATATGTCTGGTTAGTCAGATTTTTTTTTAGGCATATGTGAGTGCACGCATAACTCTACCCTTTTCCTAGAACGGCTGAAGAGTGTGTCATACACATGAGTCCACACAAACCATACTGTTTGCTTAAGGTGAGTAAAAGAAATTATTGAAATATTTGACATCTATATTCATCGATTTAAAGGATATATTCACTGGCTTACATGGCGGGAGCAGTATTTAGCCATATTGAGATTAATACTATACCGTGAGAAGTTTGAAGTTTATAAAAGGTGAATTTTAAACTATTACGTGTTAGGTTTACCATCTTGAGCACCTGACTCTTGTTATCTGTCTTAATCAGGTTTGGACATTTAAGGTGGTTATAATGTGATATTAAGATATTGTCTACTGTATTTGTCGATTATACTTGTGAACAATGCAATTGTCCTACATGTTGAAATGGGCTGGGTTGCAATTTCTGTACTTAGGCATGATTAAGATGAGTGTATAACATTAGAACTCTGAAGTTTTTAAGAGGTGAACTTTAAATATTTTATGGTAGGTTTACCATATTGATCCCCTGTTTGACATAAATTAAAATTCAGATTTTAATCTAAGTCAAAGTCAACAATTAATTTTAATCACACATTTTATGAGACCCATAACTTTTCAACCATACATTTTATTAACTTTTATCAAAATCTAATAAATATCTTATTTTAATCCCCACAAAACAGGATCTGAATATTTGTATCTGTCTTAGTCGGGGAGGGTTGGTAACTTGTGTGTGTTCATAGACTATGGATATGGCATCTCTTGATTTTTGCCATATTTCTAAGTAATTTTACTACTTGGCCATATGTGAAGAGAAAGTAAGATAGTATAGCATAAAAGGCAAGTAAGATAGTATAGCATAAAAGGCTTCAGTTTTGTTTATATAACATAATTTATTCATTATAGTCATCCGATTACGTTTTAGGTTTTGTGATAAAGGTGGTATATTACTTGCTATTAACTTTCTATTATTCCCCGAGTAATGGAATTTTTTTCTTTGTGGCAAATTATGCATACTGAGTAACTTGTGATCACATGCAGGTTCTTGTTTGCTAGATAAATAAAGTTCTGCACTTAGACAGCTATGGAGAGACACTCATTTAACACATCTCATATTTTTGAGAGTGATAATGATCAGGGATGGAATCATGCAGAACAATCTTACATGCATATTGGTATAAATATTAACTTTACCTTCCTTGTATTGTCATTGTTTTTATCAGAAGTGAATATGATGTTGCTTCGTTAATTACGTCTTCCTTGACACGAACTGCCTGCTTGTTATAACAAAGCTTACACTTGTTATAACAAAGCTAACATTTGCAAATAATTATCTTAGAATATCTGCAAATTGATGTCAGTGACACCTGTGACTTATTTATATAGGAAATGATTTCATTATTCTTGTTAGGGGAGTTAAAGCATTGAGTAAGTTATTCTTCTGGGTAGGACCATCCATTGCAGCTGTGAGTTTGTGGGGGAATGACAATTGAGAGTTTGGCCATTATGTACGGTCTTCTAGTAGGTCCGTTATCCATCGTGCATGGATTAGAAACCACAAAGGTGTGGGTCGAAATTTAAGGACATCCATTTGTACAATAAGTAGAAGAGGTTAGGTCACATTGATGTAACTAGCACTCGGCCAATTGTGAAGGTACTTGACATTGGTCGTCACAAGCTTTCTGTGTCTGCATAAATCTCTTACCTTATTGAGTTCTTCTGTTTTGTTTTGCAGTGAGGGCTGGTGTTTCTGAAACCAGTTCTCTTGTTCGTCCTGTGGATAATATGACAATACCTGGTGGACATTTTGCTTCTCAGTGGACTCCTGCTCCGAGTTCGGACGCATACTCTTCCTCTATTTATAATGCTGAAATGCTGCAATATCCACCACAGGCTCCTGCTTCATCTCGTGATCCATTTATTCATCACTCTACTAATGGGACCTTCCATATGCATCAAGAAAATTATTCTCATCATGCATCTTCATCCAATCTTGGTGGACAGACAGTCCCTGGGGTAGATTCTGGCTGTTTTGATCAGAGAATGGGCAATGAAAGAGTAGCATTTAAGCGAAAAAGCCCTGGAATCCCTCCTGTGTGTGAGAGAAGTGTTACAGGCAGATATTACGATGTTGGAAGTTCATCCAATCTCTCCTTGCCAAGTGACTCATGGCAGGAGAAGCAGAGTACAGAATCTCATCATATGCCTTGGGAGTGTCCTCCCTGTTATAGAGGTAATAGCCTCTCTATTGGCACTGAAGGTATGCCGAGGAATGTGAGAACTAGACCTTCAGTTGACTTGGAAACCAATTTGGCCAGGACACGTTTATCAAGCAATCCTTTGTATCCTTCTCTGTCTAATCAGTCTTCTGATCAATCTAGCCAACAAAATATCTGGGGACAGAGTTCAAATGCTCCGACAACGGAATGGAATCATAACCTCGTAGCACCTGCTGGTCATGGGATGGTTTTTGCGTCAGGTAACATTTATGGTTTACTTCATCATGTCGGTACACTATGTCTTACTGAGATATTGTCATCTTGGAGTTGCAGGTTCCAGTGTCTTGAGTCATGAGCCTAACTCTCTAAATGCAGTAAACAGTCATCCTGGTGCTCCCCTTGAGATTGGGGGGTACCAAAACGATGTTGCCTCAAACAGAAACACTGTTCCTCAAAATGTACACAGTAACTCAGGTCAATCTGTTAGAGGGGTTCGAAGCAGTTACGGCCAAAGGTCTGCCTCAACTTTCAGGGATGGTTCAAGCAACGTCCTCCCTGGACACGTGGCTATGTCGGATGAAGGTCCGCAAATGGTTGCAGAAAGTTATCACATGAGACATCCACGAGCGTTTCCCGCCATAAGATTTCGCAACATTGACAGAAACGGAAGAAATTTGATGTCTAGTGACAGACATCGATCATTTACTGGGGAGGCAAGTCTCCAGGATCGACTGACACCTGAGGTATGTACATAAATCTTCTTCATTGTGGCTCTTATATACTTGAGAGAGGGGTTTCATGGAATTGGAAGAAAGTTGATCTACTATTGATAGTTGAACATATTTCACTGATTACCAGCAAAAGTAATATTGACAGGATTAAACTTCAAAACTTTCTTTTTACTTCATATAATTATCCTTTTCTTCTTCTCTTCCGTTTGTCTTATCTTATTCTCTCCCTGTTCTTCATTGTTTTCTCTTCCCTGTGGCCTTCCATCACAGCCTACATATGCAGCCTTCTTCCTCATCTTCTCGTCTTATATTTCTCTCCTCTTCTCCATTTATTTCCCTTAAGCTGCAGGTCTATCAGCATTTTATTGAAATTGCATTATTATTGATTCATTTCTTTGCTTGTCATGGGTAAGTGTTTCATTTTCTAGTCAATAGTGATCCAGGCCAGTTTCAGGTTGGCTACTCATTCCTTGAATTTTTAAGGACTTGCCCTCTTTAATGGAATGTGTTATATTAAGATTTACCTTCTTTTCTCATTTTCACATGCCAACTCATCCTGCATAAGAAAATAAATAATGTGAAAGGAGAGGTAAAAGATTAGAAAAGGGAGAAGATGAAAGGAGTTCATGGAGATTCATTGTGAGCGTAGAATAAATCATGTCTTTGGTTTAATGGATGATTCATGTGAGTGCATCTTTATTAATGGTGCATTTGTGCTTATATCTGAAGGTTGTGAACCACACAATGTCAAGTACGACGTGACCATTTATTAATGCTTCCACATGAGCATATTTGTGCAATACCAAAATTCGTGGTCTTTATATAAATTTAGGTCCCTGTACTCTCAGTTCTCTGATAATTACTAAATGTACTGTGTACGTCTGTATTCCAGATGGTTGTGGACCCCTCTGTATTTTATGGATCCAGAAGTCTGTTCGATCAACATAGAGACATGAGACTTGACATTGACAATATGAGCTATGAGGTCTCGTAATGCTTTCATTTTCTCCTTTCTTGTTCCAATGTTGTTTTGTTTACTAAATATCTATTGGGACAAGCAGGAACTCCTTGCACTGGGGGAGAGGATTGGCAATGTAAACACAGGCTTGTCTGATAGTTTAATTGCGAAGTGTTTGATGGAGTTGATGTATTGTTCGTCGGACCAATTCCAACAAGGAACTTGCGTTATCTGTCTGGTGAGAATCCTATTGAGCACATCCCTTCAATATATTCATCAATTTTGAGTTGGGCGTTATTTATAGTCTTCCAGCAAATAGACCAATGAAATTTATTATTGGGTTCAAAATACTAGCTGGTCCTGAACTTTCAGTAAAAGTTTTATGTTGGTCACTAAACTTTATTATGCTCCACTGAACTTCAATTTGTTTCATGATGGTCACTGAACTTAAAAGATGACCACATCAGCCTTTCCTTTCCATTTGTTAAACTAAAGGACATGGACCGAATGACACAATATAATGAAGTTCTCCCGTGACTGACTTGAAACAAAATGAAGTTCACTGACCACCTACCACCATTGTATATAACCCTTAATTGTGGCATCTTGGTTATGAGTGCATAAGTTTATATGCCTCCCACTGTGTTCAGTAAGTTTGTTCACTTGCGCATCTTTGTTTATAACAGGAAGAATACAATAACATGGATGATGTCGGGAGACTGAAAGTATGCGGGCATGATTTTCACGTCGCCTGTATTCAGAAATGGTTGTCAATCAAGAACATGTGTCCTATCTGCAAGGGTTCTGCCCTGGATGACAGTGTGAAGGAGAAATTATGTATTTAAGTTACTCCATAATTTACAATACTTTTTGTAAATATGTGGGTTAAAGACATTCCTCAAAATGGAGGAAATGAATACTGATAAACAAGACTTTTAAAGGCAAATGCCAATTTCAGTTTATTTTCATTAGCATATCTCTTTATGCTATAATCTTTATGGTAATGGGCGTGTTGTATGCTATATTTTTTTGTTTATCAATTAATAATTATATTTTTTATTTTAGTTATTTTAAGTGAAAAATATTGAGAGGTTCTTTTGTCATCAAATTAAATTTAGATGTTTGACTTTTGGTCAACTGAATTATTTATGAATGAAACTGTTAAAGGTCCTTCCTGTGCACATTCATTAAAAGATTTGGGATATAGGTGTTAAGTTCAGAACGTTTAGGACTTGGTTGCACATTTTCAAAAGGTCCGTAACCTCTACTGCAAAATTTTCTAGATTAATTTTATGTTTTATTAACCATTTATTATTTGGGCCTTGATCAATTTATGAGTAAATGTCAACAGGTTGGAATTTGAATGTGACTTAGGGTCCGTTTGGTAGGAATTTTGAGAATTGATTTTTTGACCGTTAGAAGAAAAGTAGGGTCCACATGTGAGAGAAGAAGTCAAAAATTACTGCTTGAATAGTAAAATAACAGTCAAAAAATCAATTTTTTGGAGCAAAAAATCCCTACCAAACGGGGTCTTACAATGTTTGAGCCGGTGTTTTCACCCCTCCACCCACCATTTGTCAGGCACCTAATCACTAATTAATAAGATTGATGTCATAGGAAATCTTAATAATGATTTTATTTATTGGGATGCCATTTGATATTCGATTATTTATTTTGAAGATATTTTCAAAAGAAAAAATGTAGATAAAGAGGACTATAATGACCAAATCCAAGCCTCTATATGTAAGAAAATGTAGGCTTTTTACAAAATTGTAAAACCACCAAAGTATAGAAATTGATGAATAATGAATGGAGATTGCAGAACTTAAAAACTATAATTTAAATTAACAATTTTCTAAAACTTTGCACATTCTCAATTAAAAACTCGAGCCATGTTACCTTGGTGCAACAAAAGTACAACATGATTTCATATTATTCAGATCCAATTATCCTTGTTTTGACAAAAAGATACTAAAAATTCTAACATTTCAATTTCTCTACTATTGGAAAAATAATAAAAATAAATCGTATATTCAAAGTGTGGTATAAAAATAATAATAATAATAAACTGTAAAACTTGGGTCAAATTAAATAACAGTGAAAAAATAAAGGGCCTATGTAAATTGTTCACCTGACTGTTACGCCACGGGAGTTCTTATTTCACGCCGACCTCATTTACTTTCCATATAGACCTCAACAAAAAAACTAGGGATTACGAATCAGGCAAAGTTTACGTTCCTCCGGAATTTTAACGAATGGTACGTTCTTCTTTACGGAGATCTCTAAATAGATTTTGGATTTTTGTTTTTTACTTTTTTGGATTTATGAGATCTGTTTTGTTTGGAATTGGCTCTAGATATTTTTTATGTTATGATCTAGGTTTTTTTTGGGTAAAAATGATGCTGTACATTTGATTACTTTTACGGAGATCTCTAATTAGATTTTGGATTTTTTTTGGATTTATGAGATTTGTTCTGTTTGGAATTGGCTTTAGATATTTTTTATGTTATGATCTAGGTTTTTTTGGGTAAAAATGATGCTGTACATTTACTTGCTCGCACGAGAATGATCTGTCTTGTTTTACGTTTTCCTGATTTGTTTGAACTTTTTATTTGTGAATTATGATATGCATATTTATTTTTTTTTCTACTGGCGCGATGCTAGATCAATGCTGGATGCGTAACATGCATTTGAATTTGATAAGGGAAAAAAATTAGTTAATGAGAAATACGCTGAAATGTAGTATTTACGAATTGTAAGTTTGTTCTATGAGGATTTGGAGAAAAAAATTTATTTTGTTTATTGGAATTATGGAAAAAGCAGATAATATGATCAAAGGTTTTAATGTTTCTACAGTTTTGGCATGCCCATGGCCCATGGCCCATGGCATTGATAAGAAAAGGGACAAGATTAAAAATCTCTTCTCCTTATCGGATGGAACGATTTTTTTCAGAAATTGGACAAATGCATTGGTTTTCCCTTGGGTTCTTTATTCGATTTTCAGTTCAAATTTGACAGTCTTAAAAACTATGAGATATGCACAATTTAACGAGTTCTTTTGGTTTGTATATCTATTTGATGTGATTTTTTCACTGAACATAATAAAGGAAGAAAGTTTTCTTTATAAAAGCTGTTGATTATGAAGCAAATACATTCGCCTTGGTTTGGGACATTTTCAAAATTTAATGTTAGCTGGGTGGGTGGACTATTTCTACTACAAGATTCAAAAGGTTTGTTATTATGTTCAACAGCATGGAATTAAGGCCTTGAAGTCGGCATTTGGAGAAAATATATCTGATTTTGAAAGAAGTTGAAGATCTTGTAATTCCAATTTGGATGCTCCTGTGCTACCTAGCAGTACCCAATAGTTTACACTAGTTATGCCTGAAACGAGTTTATGCCCTGTTGTTGGATTTGTTATTTTACATTTTGCATTTAGAAATCTGTAAGTTGACCAAGGCACATAGTGAGTGTGAATCTCAGACCATCCTTAAGTTATGCAAACATTGTGAGAACACGTTAAACAGGGTAGTAGTTCTGTTGCCATGGTCCCATGGATTAATAGCAAGGACCCAAAAAATTTGAGGATGCCAGTGAAATGCTATTTTTATAATAGATGTGTTTTTTGTCATGTGAACTATAACAAGTTTTTGTATGGTTGCTTTTTGCTTTCTGTCTTATTTTGTTTTACACCATCTTAAATTGTGTTAATTTAATGCCACTTTTAATTGATCACCTGATCGACGATGGAAATATGTGGCCTAGGATGTCGAAGCCAAAGGGTTTAACCCGGGATTGATCGTCTTACTTCTAGTTGGCGGCCCGCTCTTGTTATTCCTTGTTGGAAATTATGTACTCTACCTGTATGCCCAGAAAACCGTTCCTCTGAAGAAGAAGAAGCCAATCTCCAAGAAGAAAATGAAGAAGGAAAGGCTGAAGCAAGGCGTTTCAGCACCAGGAGAATAGATTTTTGTTAGAAAGGGATAGAATGGGTTGTTTCCTTTCCATGTTGAGCTGCAGTGTTGACATTTCCGATGTTGGAAACTTCGTAGAGATTGTTACAATGTTTTAGGACTCATTCTCCCATTATGTTTCATACAACTTAACTCGATAATTTAGAAATCCTGTTGTTTTGCTAGCAGATCGGATGAATGAATGCTGTTTGTTTTGTTATGTTATCTGATATTGTGTCAAAGCTATGTTGTTTGACTAGCAACTATATCGTTTTGTGGCTTTGGTAAGCTGAGTTGTCATGTCTTGTTATAGGTACTTTTTCGTTTTGAAGTTTTGGTTTACCGTGATAGAAGTTGTTCAAAGAGTCATCACCTGACCAGTTGGTTTAGCATTAAATTTGCCGTTGGAATGAAGTTCTGAGTTAGTAATTGCTTGATTGACAGCAGACTAGAGGTGTCAATCAGGTCAAACTGGTTGCAGCAAGGTCTGAAATTCTCTGCTTATTTGCCCGAGTTTTTTGATGGGTGGGCCAACCCAGAGCCTGCTACATTTCTCCATGACCATCTTGGGGACGGGCCTGTATATGTTATTGTTTTGCATATTATAAAGGTCGAATTTTGTTTCTTTGTTGCCCCGTGACCTGAACAGCAGACCATAACTCCAAGCTTGTGATGGCCTTCCAGCTGATTTAGTCACAAGTATGCATGAGCATTGGTGCATCACAATCATTTTTTTTCTAGAATTCCTTTTCTTGGCAATTTGGTGATGAGGTTTCGGGTTAGTTAGCCCCAAGGGAATACCTAACGCCAGTTTTAAGGAGCTAGTCAAGCTTAGCGCTTAGCCCTTTAATCCGAATATATAGCACAAGCGATATTCAATGCATGCCTTATGGGTAAAAATTCACGATTTATTGATAGGAACACAATTTGCTAGATAAATTTCTTAAGCATGGTTTCCCTTGTTGCTGATGGAGATTAGTAAAGTGTTTGCCCTGGATTTGTGTTGCATAGGATTATGTAATCGCATGTAACGTCTTTAATTGGATGGCATGAGAAACATCGTAAATACATCTCTAATTATCTCACTCAGTCGACGGTGATGGTTTGTTTTCGTTTGACGGAGCCTTTGAAAAGTCAAAAGTTGTTTACGAGACTAATAAGCTGTTTTTAACATATTTTGATGATTTCTGAAAATGCTTTGTTTGGCTAGAAACACTTTCAGAGGAAGTTAACGTAAAGTAATTTTCTAGAAAAACTCTTCTACAAGAAGTAAAAGTTTTGTTAAATGAGTCTAAAGTACCTACAGGATCTGAAATAATAATCAAGGGATTTGATCTTCTAGAATACTCGATATAGTATATAGAGACAATGGCAAGCAAATATTAATTTAGGGAGTAATACCTCTCCTATATGTTTCAATAATAATTTACTACTGATTAAATAATAATTACAACTGCAAAACAACCCGACAATTTTACTAACATAATGCAAATGAGAACTATTCAGGGAGTAGTAACTCTCCTATATGTTTCAATGTAACATTGCAATATATCATAAATTAAGAAGGGGACTTCATCCAAAATTGTACACTCAAAGCTTAATCATCATTCATCCATTAATTTTCTTTCCCTGAAAAGGCACAACCATAGATTAATGAGAGATCAAAACAAAATAACACCATTGCTCAATATACAATGAAATAAATTCTTCTCCCCTTAACATTGTAAAATTTTAGATTGAGTTGTTCATTCAAGTTTCACAAAACCTTAAAAAAGAGAAAAATGGATCTAGTCTGCCCTTTGCAATTTCTATATAATGCAAACACCTTTTTCGTTTCGAGGATTTTAGATAAATACCTCATCACGGGGATTCCGTCAAGCCTGTGTTCATTTTATTAGCATATTTCTAAACAAGTTCCTGATAACAAGCCCGAAGGTAAGGAAACTGATGGTATCGGTATTGATACTAGTGATAACATCGATCTTGACCTTAATATGAAGCTAAAACTATTAGCATGAAGAGACAGCCTCAAGATAATTTATCTCTAATAGTTTAAACTTTTAACAGTAATAACCATTCCAATAAATGTAACAACTAAATGAACTGGGTGAAGAAGATCTTACAGTTTTCTTGGCTTTATAAATCTGACCTTTGGATTTTCCACCAGCCACTGTACTTTGACGTTGAATTTTAGGGTGATTACGAGACTTATTTGGTGGCGGGTTATGGGTATGAGTCTCTGGACCTCTATAATCAATAAAATTAATCTCTGAATCCATGGTTTTCGCATCCAATTTCCCTGCAAAATCACCATTTTCCTATAAGTTCATCATACATAACAGAGAATGAAATTTTCTGAGTTCAAAATACGAACCTCTGCAAATGCATGGAGTGAAAAGGAGGGGAAACAGAAGTAGAGTGCAAATAATAACAGCCTTCATTTCCATGAAATTCCCAACTCAAAATCGAAAATTTCTACTCGTGCAGGTGCTATTAGATAACAATTTGTCGAGCCCTTTTTCCTCGGTTCAGAGACAAAATGTTGGGTTGGAATGTGAAAAGAAGCTAACTTTTTTTCTTCTTGAAGTGTATGGAGAATAGCAGTCAAGAGGAAGACTGATTATATTTTCAAGTAATGAGAGGATTACTTAAAAAGCATTGATTATCAGTTAATGAACTGCACAAGTTTTGGTAATTGAGAGTGTCATAATCTCCACAAGAACTGTTCTCATGGAGCTGAAGAAAATGTATTGAAATTGGAATATTTATGCAGTGTAAAACAGACCTTTAGCGTCTGTTTGGATGGAGAAGCAAAGATATCAGCTACACGGATCAACATTTTTACTCTGTTCAATTCGTTGCTATATATTGGGGAAGATTTAATATTTTTTACTTAATTCGTTACACTAACAAATTAATTTTGATCCATTGCTTTCCCTTCTAATATGTTTTGCATGTTTTACTCTCTTTTAGAAGAAACAATATTGGATAAGATTACTGTAACAATTCTTCTAATTAGAAGAGAAATTTTTTATAAAACCAATCAAACTTATCCAAAATCAGCTTTTAAATTTCAAAAACTCATTTTGACTTCTCAAAAGTCATATGCCAAACGAATCTTAAATTAACTTTCCTTAAATTTGTCCTCCGTCAATTTCATTTACATCTCTTATCTTATCCATTCGAGTATCACCAGATATCCATTTTAACATTTCATGTCACGGACATTTCGTCTATCCCTTCTACTTATCCACATATAAAAATTAAACAATCCCAATTTCTCTTCCCTTCCCTCCTTTGTCATAAATCCAAACAAGGCTAAAGGGTTGGGGAAATGATTTTTCCTCTTGGGACAATCCCATGTGTTCATTATTGGAAATGCCTTAGACTTATAAGGACATCCCATTTAGCAGACCAAACTTCGCCACACAAAAATTCTGTCACAAAACACATAACCATTCATAGCACGACACAGTTCATCACAAACACTTGTGCCCATCATTTTGTGAGAAAATAATTTTTCTTAAATTGTATATAATTCTTGGAATTTAGTGAAAAATATGGACACATTTTGACAAGATTGCATGCACTTTAAACAATATTTTAGTGGCTATTGGAGTTGAATTTATTGAATACAATATAGTCTAATTCAAGAGGAAACAAATTGATGAATTACATAATTTCGTAGTAGAAAACTTTTAAATCCGAGAGACTATTCATAGTTCTTAGACTTTAATATTGACATTTTGATATTTCATCGTGGCTAAACATATCTAGTGTTCAGAATTAGATACCATAGAGCAATGAATTCGTCGATAGAAAATAGACACCCAGGAACACAAGACTTACAAATATTCACCTCGGTGTGAAACTATATCATTTTCTGCCGCTACAATAATTCAGTATAATGGAAGAAGTTTATAAGAGAAAAATCGTGCATTCTATTTTCTCTATTCTCAATCTCTCTGTTTATGAGAAAAATTAGAGCTTTGGGCTTCCTATTTCTCTAACCTCGATCCGTATACGAACTTTATGTAGCAGCAACAATTGAGTTCTACAATTTAACATCTAATTATGTATAATTATAAAAGAGGAGTAAATAGTTTCTATTACAATTCTTATTACACCACATTATGTATGTTTTTTTATTGAAATATTATACGATATTTGGTGTAATATTAATTAGTCGTTTAAATTTTAGATTGTGGAATTAAAATTATTCAAGGTTCCCACAACTTACTATTGTTGTTGTAATAATTTAACCTTGGGAAATATAATTAGGACTGCACAAAACTCTTGAATCCAATCTCTAGATCAAGAATCGAAGATTCGATTAAGAACTGAATTTTCCCAATTTTTTAATATTAAACAAGCAAAATTATTTTAATTTTTTTCATGTTTCATTTGCCAACTAATTAATTGAGTTCAAAAATATCATTTTCCTATTTCATTTACCAACTAATTAATTGAACCAAAAATATTATTTTTCTATTTTCAGCCCAACCCCAACTTTGTAATTCAAAATTTAAAGAATCAAAATTGAGTGACTTAAGTTTATCTCAATCATGTTGTCGTTTTTCAAATAATCGAAGTTGAGCAACTGTGTCTTTCTTCATCTTACCCTTTTTCCCCCTTTTTTGCTCTATTCATTGTATATTCTCCATTTTAATCAAGGAAATTTGTATAAACTAACAAATGGATCTTATTAGAAAATTTGTTATTTGTATATTTTTAAATTGAACTATGTTATTTTGTAAATTTTATTATAGTATTGTTCTATGAGTTAAAACTGAATGTCATTAATTGGATTAATGTGGTGTTATTGTAAATGTTAAAAAATTTAATTACAGTATGAAAACGAACCAAACTCGATTCTCTTTAGAACATAATCGAATTAGACCATGTCCATCCCTGAATAGCTAAACATGGTACATGTTACAAATTTACAAAGATGGCTCGACAGATAGATTTTTATGTAATATGCTGTAAAATATTTCCCGACAAATTACAAAAATAAATCGTCGACTAAGATTAGGTCATTTTCGTGAGCACTATTAAGAACCCTAGTGACATGAGTTTAGTACGTTACACAGAAAATTAAACACGACATGTCACCTTTTCTTTTTCATTATCATTTGTCCAGTTCTAATCATTTTACCAGATACGTCCTAAATTGAAAAGACTTCGATTGGATGAACACGTCCTTGTGAACGAATGGATTTGAAGGGGAGGCCCTTTTCTAATTATCAAATACTTTTACATAACAAAAGGATTATTTTCAAGAAATTAATAGGTTTGAGATTTCTATTTCTTTTTTCTTTCTAATGAAACAATTTCATATACAAATTGCAAATGGAACAAAAAAATGTAGATAAAAAGTAGTAGCAGCAGCAGCAGCCACAGTAGTAGTAGTAGTAGTAATAATAATAATAATAATAATAATAATAATAATAATAAAGAGTATTTTCAAGAGGCTCTTTAAATATTATAATAAGTTATTTATTTTAAAGTGTCCACTCTTAAAATTATGTCCTCAAAAAAAAATTTTCAAATTAACATTTTAAAATTGAAAATGAGTTTCGAATGTCAAACCCATTCTATATAATTAAATGCATTGAAAGTATTTCAATTTTCAATGGAAAAAAATTAGCGAAAATAGAATATACGAAAAATAATTAATATTTTTTTAGGAGTAATAAAATTAATTGTTAAAAATAAGGATTCTGTTGGAGTATTTTAAAATTTTACTATCTAAACTGCAAAATATACTCTTTAGAAATAGAGTCTTAGGGGATGTTTGATAGACATTTTTATGTAAAAAAGCATTTTAGAATAGTAAATTGATGTGAAATGTGTGGTTGAAAAATAAGGAAAAGTTTTTTATTTACGTGTAATATTATTTTAATAAAGAATGTGTAATCGAAAAGAAAATAAAGAAAAATATATTTTAAAAAAAATGGCTACCAAACGGGGCCTTAATATACTCATTACGTGGGTTAACCGACGCTTTTTAACCAATTTGTACGAACTCAATTTCAGTTTGTGTGTTTTAGTAAACTTAAAATATTTAAATAAATTATAGATTAAATAATTTTTATCGATCTAAGATGAAAGTTATTAAGTTATTTATTTGCAAGTAACTTTTAATTTATCATCAAAATAATTAATTCTTTTTTTTTTTTATACCCAGGTGTTCACCTTACAGCGACTAATCCGAGGTCTACGATTTAACCCCTCTTCACGTAGACCAGGTAAACCGCGGGTTGTGCCCCAAACTTGTAAGGGTCCAAGAACCCCCCCCCCCAACTGATAGAACCTACCTTTATTTCTAACGATCAAAAAATCAATTTTCAAAATTCCTACCAAACACCTGTATAATAAGTTATTGGTGAAGGGACGGAGGATGATATTCAAGATAATTTAAAGATGCAAATAAATTTTATCTATCAAAGATGATGGTAAGTCATTAAATTATTCAACAGTGACAGCTATGAAATCAAACTTTTGTGGCAAACTTCAGAGAATCTTCTTCATAATCTTTACACATTGTAAACCATTTCATTTACTATGGAAGTAACCATGCTCACAGTGAGTAATCTTATATTGAACTGGTAAAAGGTTAGTTTGAGATTGATTTTAGAGTTTAAATTATGATTAAACTTGTTTTAGACGTTTGATAAATTAAAAAAAAAAAAATTGTTTTTGGAAGAATTGTTACTATTTGACAGCAGATTATGAGAAATAGCAAAAGATACTTTTTTGCTTCTCCAATGATCTATAAGTAAAAAGTCAATGTTAATCCAAATTAATTAAGGAGGGTGTCCTTAATAGAGATTGTGATGAATTTTAAAAATTTCTTTAAATTTAGGTATCCTCAATTGAGATTTTAATAAAATCCATTAAAATTTTGATGTCCCAAATTAACATTTTAATGAAATTCATTGAAATCTTTTAAAATTTAAGTATCATCAATAATTAGTGGATATATAAAGATTTCATAAGATTTGGATAGATTTCAAACTTAAAAATACATATTAACCAAATCTTTTGAAATTTCACAATATTTAATGGGATTCTTATGGAATTTATGGGAATCCATTCAAATTCACGAAATTTATTAGAATTTATAATCTTTTGAAATCCATCAAAACCTTAGTTGATGACACCCCGTAAATTAATTCCTTTTAAAACTAGTTTTATTGATATTCAAAAAATAAATTGAGATACCAAATTGCTAAAAATCTATTTTTTTCTTTATTTTTGAATATTTATCAACCTTATTTTATTATCAAATACTATTGATGATAGTAATAATAATAAAGTACAATATTATATAATCAATATCCATTAAAGTAATTATATACCGACAATGATAAATAATTTTTTGTAGACCAAACTCTAAAATGATAAATTTTCAGCAATTTTGAACCAAAAATTTGTCAAATACTTAGTCGACTGTTCCAAAAGGTCTCTTTAGCACAACAAAAATGATTTTTTAAATCACAGCAAAATATTAAACCTAAGAATATAAAGATATAACATTTTATTCATAATATTGTTTAATCTCTGCAAGCGTTACATTCTTGGACCTGATAAATATGTTACATCCCAATAATTGTTGGGTTAATGTTCATATTTGATTGAATTTTTTCTATTTCTCTCCCTCTTCCTAGCAAAATAACAGGATTTTATTATTATATATTTTTTATTTTTTTGGCTTGAATAACTCTTTTTCTTTTTTCAACTCAAATCTGTCAATCAATTATCTTTGTTAGGATTTGCAGAAGAAAAAAAATTTGTATCAAGTCCTTTGCAGGCCCAGTTCGGGTCAAATCTTGGGTCATAATCATGCCGAATCTGCCAGGTTTCGACTCGATCCATTTGATAGACGGCCCAA